TTTTAAAACCACAATAAGCTGCATGGCTGGAAACTTAGTTGGCGATTTTCTCCGAAATCAACATTATTCCTAATTCTATCTTTTGTACTGTCGAAACTGAACTAGTGTTCATTTAAAATAAATGTGACAATGTCTAAATCTAAACATTCATCGAATTCCATGTTTAGCTTCTAATTTGCGGGAAATTAAATACATATTTAACTATATGATTTTAATCATTTTACAATTTTAACTTAGTAGAGTTTTATCTTGATCTTAATGCGATTGTTCCAATGTATCTGGTTCCAGTCTAGAAGTTATTCCAAATGAAGCCAGACTCGATTATTATATAGGTTCAAAGTAAGGCTTAATATCTAACAAATAGCTTCAAGTAAAACAATTTATAGAGTGCAAATGTACAGTGCCATATAAACAAATTAATAAATTATTGCATTGGCCTGAGATCATTGTGTAATGGTAATTAATTAAATTACTAAAAATGGAAATTATTTTACTTTTCTAACTATTTTCACATTTTCTTTCAATCTGAATAAAGATTCTGCAGTTAAATTTTTTTTGAAAGTAGATTGGAATTGTTTTAATCTGCCAAGAAAGGAAGACGAAATTGTGACTGGTGGCCTCTTTGTCACGACTGACATATTTTTTGTGACAGAATATCTCCTCTTCATCTAGTTGGTGTTCATTGACCTCAATAACTTACGTACTTGTTTATTGACTTTTGGGTTTCTCTGTCTATTCTGGGAATTTGAATTTCATAATTGCAGTAGCAATTTAGTGCTTGAGTGGTCCCAAACTACAAAATCAACACACTTCCTAAGCACAGTGAGCTAACAGTCTTCTCCTTACTTCATCGTCCAGGTGACTTATTTGAGCAACTTAAATTCTAACTTCACTATATCTGAGGCAAGTGCTTTTAAGCTTACTTTGAAATGTTCAGAACAGAGAAAACTGAAATCCTTAGAATTTTTTGCATCTTCATCTCTAATATCTAAGATGAGGGGTGTGCGATAGACTTACCTCCACGTGGTGCANCACTCTTCTGTTCCCCCCCCCCTCACCATCTCTTAACATTATTTCACTTTTTGAAACCTGAAGTCAACTAAAGGACTAATGATAACTATCAGAACGCCTGCCATTTGATATATATATATATATATATATATATATATATTTCTGAATATACTGGTCTTCATATAATCTTATTAGCCTTAAAATAAGTAATTCAATAGGCGTAATTTGACGGATATCGGGTGGAAAGGTAGTGAACAGTTAGGCATATGCTAGATACTTATTAGATATGATTAAACAGTTAAATGGTGTGCGATAGACTTACCTTCACGTGGTGCAACCTGGGCAACGTATAATCATACGGCAAAAAAGTCTATTAAATGGCTATTGACTTCTGACTTCAAACTACCATCACCCCATTGTATGGCAGTGACTTCTGACCCCACTGTATGTCATATTCGACTAAGGCAGTTGACTTCTCACTTCAAACTACCACCACCTCATGCACTATGGGCAACGTATACTCATATGGCAAAAAAGTCTATTAACCAGCAGTTGACTTCTGACTTCAAACTACCATGACCTCACTGTGTGTCAGAGTTGACCACTTCTACAGTATTCACCATACCCTACTCTCTATCATTGTGTCTGTCTCTTTTACATCTGCAAAACGCTCTTCGGTCCCCCTCTTGAATTTTTCTCACTTTGATGTTTCTCCCTTCTGTGAAGTTCGAAGTCAGCAAAGGGCTAATGATAACTATCAAATTGCCTGCCATTTGTAATAAATAAATAAATTAAATAGTTANCATATGCTAGATACTTATTAGATATGATTAAACAGTTAAATGGTGTGCGATAGACTTACCTTCACGTGGTGCAACCTGGGCAACGTATAATCATACGGCAAAAAAGTTTATTAACTGGCAGTTGACTTCTGACTTCTAACTACCATGACCCCACTGTATGCCAAAGTCGACCAATTCTACAGTACTCACCATACCCTACTCTCTATCATTGTGTCTGTCTCTTTTACATCTGCAAAACGCTCTTCGGTCCCCCTCTTGAATTTTTCTCACTTTGATGTTTCTCCCTTCTGTGAAGTTCGAAGTCAGCAAAGGGCTAATGATAACTATCAAATTGCCTGCCATTTGTAATAAATAAATAAATTAAATAGTTAAATGTTTACAGGCTAACTCTCAGAATGCACATTATATAATACGCCTAAAAAGCTCTTTCATACATAAAGGCGATTTACAATCACTCATTCATTAAATTAACTCAATTTCAAATGGTGATCTTTCTTCTGGCGTTAACCGATTTGAATTGGCTTATGTGACAAATGACCAAGAGGATTCATGGATGACTTAAATCTTCAGGCTTGGAAATCAGTGCAATGCCCTNGACAGAATATCTCCTCTTCATCTAGTTGGTGTTCATTGACCTCAATAACTTACGTACTTGTTTATTGACTTTTGGGTTTCTCTGTCTATTCTGGGAATTTGAATTTCATAATTGCAGTAGCAATTTAGTGCTTGAGTGGTCCCAAACTACAAAATCAACACACTTCCTAAGCACAGTGAGCTAACAGTCTTCTCCTTACTTCATCGTCCAGGTGACTTATTTGAGCAACTTAAATTCTAACTTCACTATATCTGAGGCAAGTGCTTTTAAGCTTACTTTGAAATGTTCAGAACAGAGAAAACTGAAATCCTTAGAATTTTTTGCATCTTCATCTCTAATATCTAAGATGAGGGGTGTGCGATAGACTTACCTCCACGTGGTGCACCCTGGGCAACGTATACTCATACGGCAAAAAAGTCTATTAATCAGCAGTTGACTTCTGACTTCAAACTACCATGACCTCACTGTATGTCAGAGTTGACCACTTCTACAGTATTCACCATACCCTACTCTCTATCATTGTGTCTGTCTCTTTTACATCTGCAAATCACTTTTCAGTCCACCCTCTTGAACTTTGATGTTTTTCCCCTCTGTGAAGTTCGAAGTCAGCTAAGGGCTGATAACTATCAAAATGCCTGCCATTCGAAATAAATAAATATTTAAGATGAACAAGTGTACCTTTCATAATTATTACTATTCATATTACTAAAGCCTGCATTATGATATAAACAGTCAATTTACTGGCGCCAGTATTTTTTTAAAATATGATGCCTTTTATTTGCCGATCATTAGCCTTTTAGTTTTTTAAAGGTTTTCGCTGTTTAGTTTAGAAGGGCCCTACACGCACGATCGCACTTGCTCGCTAGGAGAACAGTACCACACCGAGCTTTTCAATATATTCTAGCTCGCGAGAGGTACCTTAGTTCAGCTTTGATGACGTTTTGCATTTCACAACCATATCGTGACCTACCCACTAGCTATGGTAATCTTCACCTTCGAGAAGAGCCTTTCAATAAATACTTACCTTAATCTGTAATTCAAACTACAAAAGTATAAATTACACGATTCTTGGTGGAAGAATTAAATACTAAGTATATATTTGGGATTAATTTACCGAAACAAATCCTTATATTCACGAAAAGGGGTGTGCGATAGACTTACCTCCACGTGGTGCACCCTGGGCAACGTATACTCATACGCAAAAAAGTCTATTAACTGGCAGTTGACTTCTGACTTCAAACTACCATCACCCCAATATATGTTATATTGGACTACTTCCACAGTACTCACCTCACCTTTTTCCAACTTTTCTACCTTCGTCTTTGAAACACTCTTCTGTCCCCCCTCCCTCTCTTGACTTTTTTTCACTTTGATGTTCCTTCCCCTCTGTGAAGCCTGAAGTCAGCTAAAGGGCTAATAATAACTATCATAAAGTCTGCCATTTGGTATAGATAAATATTCACGAAAATCGCATTTCGCGCAGTATTTAAGGCGCTTACCTACAGAATGTTCAAAATATTAACTCCATCTACTTATTTGACGGTATGAATGAATTAACGCCTTCTTAAATGTTAAAGCGAATTCTATGAAGTACGGACGTGATTTCATTCTGAAACCCAGAGTTTAAATCATGGCACCTTGACCTAGTTCAATAATTTTGCGATAAAACTGTCTGGATTTTATTCGTGATTGTAATCAACAATATTTATTATAGGAAAAAGCAGCACATCTAGCTTTCTTACAGAGGTGGGACTCGTTAGCACGCATTCAATGTCTACCATCAAGACGTATGTTTAAAGAAATTGATATTTTAAGATGAAGCTAGCTAATTACATAATGTATAATGGGTCATGAAAGGCTTCACTCATCGAACATTTGGACCTTTCCAAAGGCGAAATCTCTGATCTATGCGTTTGACCCAGTGGCGTAGATGCAACGTCCACGTTTGTCACAGAATTTGGACATGAACTTTAGATAGTGATAAGAAGGATAACTTGTCTGGTTGCTATTTGCAGCTGCCTCTTACACAATCTTCACGCATATTGATATCACAAGATTCTACTTTGCTTAGAATTAGAGAGAAAGGGAGATTAGAAAGAATACGAAAGTGTTGTGACTCCATGGCATTTATTGACCATTGTGTTATATATGGCAATACAAATGGAGCAATGAAATGTCGGCAACAGCTTCCACTAGAAATTCAAACAACATTTATTAATTGGCACGACCTAGGTCTCAAGTGCCAATGATTGCATATATATATATATATATATATATATATATAACATGAGATGGCTTTCTTTGCTAACTTCCTGAATGCTCAAGTGATATGAATGTGATTCTGACCATGTTACGTCAGTTTGCAAAATATTCATACTCGTTTACAGTGTTATGATTACCTGGCGAAGTTCGAATGCAACACTTGTAGTAATTAATTATTTCTCCCTACTCCCTTCTGATGTACCAGTCCTTTAGAAGCGCTTTCATTGGCCATTTAATAACTTGGCATAATATCGACCTAGAAGTGGTATGCACACTGATCAGGTAGGGTCGAGGACTCTAAACTAAAGAGAAATGCTATTGTAGCCAGCATGGACTTGGTAGGTCAGATCGATCCTCATCGGTGCGCACCCTCTGAAGCTTCTGCTTAGTCATATTGGTTACTTCTGGATGACAAGGGGGTGCTGTAGTGCGAGAAATGTAAATTAGTAATCTTCAAATACCCAAGTCAATTGTTTTGAAACCTTTCCAGAGTTGGTAGAAATTGAATGTTTGATAAAGTTGTTTTATGTCCATTTGAGTGAATAGCACTGAATCCTGTTATATCAGAAATGAATTATCAAATACAGGGATTCTAATTGATTATTTTTTATTTGAAAATTATGAGTGCTTTATTTTTATGGTGGGAATTATTTAATGATTCATTGTTTTCTTTTTAGACCGTATCATGAGATCGTGCATTACCTAGATCGCTTCTTCATCTTCCTCTTCATTGCCGCTTCCTACACACCGTGGTTCGTTCAACAGTAGTAAACATTTGTTTCCATTCATCGTTCGATTTTATTAGGTTTTATGCGACACGCCACAAAATCAACACGAAATATCGATTTTTCTACTAATTTAGCTCGTTTAATCACAATGTCATATAAAATTTTAGCCACCCATACTGTTCTACTTTGGAGTGAAAAGAAATGTGGTATTAGGCAATTTCCCATTTGAAGTAAGGATATCTAAGTAGATCTAGTTTACTCATATTTTGAAAGACACCTTTTTAATTTTTGGATTAACTTAAATGAGAGGTGCTATAAGTTGTTTACCTTTCCCATCAGACCAAATGGCAGGAGTTCTTAAAAAAGTAAAAAAGAATAAATAAGAAATTCGGGAATGCAGTGAAGCGCCTCGTTTATTACTCTTTCTCGCAATGAGAATTCTTAGTAAGGCAGCGGATTGCTACACGAACAAGCCTTGACTTATCCAGAGTAATCTCCATAGCAAGGTGCCCCCCTCTCCCAAAATGATGGAAATCGACGTACGATATGGAACACATTTGTCAAGGACGTGTGCCTGTCGCAGAGCATTGTCATTAAAATATCACGAAGGGTTTGTTCAACAATGTGATGGTAAAATCAAATGGCAGGCGTTTTGATCGATAACATTAGACCACCAGCTGACTTTGGGCTTCACAAAGGGGGGGGGGACATCAAAGTGAGAAAAATTCGAGAGAGGGAACAGAAGAATGCTTCACAGATGTAGAAGAGACAGACACGAAGGTTGAAAGAAGGTGAGGTGAATACTATGGAAGTGGTCGAATATGACATACAGTCGGGTGATGGTAGTTTGAAGTGAAAAGTCAACTACCGGTTAATAGACTTTTTTGCCGAATGAGTATACGTTGCCCAGCGTGCGCCACGTAGAGGTAAGTCTATCGCACACCCCCTGTTCAACAATGTAATGTCTATTGATTGGCGGCTGTCTGAGGGTTCTCGATATTCACGATCGCGCTTGCTCCCTACGTGACAAGTTGCATGTTCACGCCTTCGAATCTATTTGGGTGCGCATAAGATTTCTTTTTTTCAGCCATGATAGCGTTTTGCGCTCTACAGTAATACATGCGGATCAGGAATATTCCATCTTACAGAAATAATGAGTATTGGCTTAATTGCCTTCCAATTTAATTTTATTCATAGACGGAAGTTGTTTCCCATTTTCTTGTAAACACCTTTCTGAACGTCACCTTTGATAAATATAAAAATCGTTCAGTTTCAAATTTCTATTTGAACATTCAAAACTAGGACCACTGCTAATTTTCTAAAGGACAGATTTGGAACAGCGGTTGTCTGTTTAAAGGCCTGACACTTTCTTTTCTTTCACGGCTGCTGTTACCATTCTTATTATTTTTACCAACCACAGGAAAATGAATAATTTTCACGTTTATCACAATCGGAACACAACCGGAATTAATATTTAAATTCCTGTTGTGAATTCTCCACCTCATGGGCAGTACATTTCTTCATGCTTCAAAATTTAGACTTCATAACTCAAATTTTTATCCCCAATCGTCAACTCTTATCAACCAATTGTCTGATGACGATGGTCTTTCATACCAATCCAATTCAGTGCAGTTTTCCAAGGTCGTAAAGTGCGTGATCTCGCAGAGTCTTTAGTTGACAGAGCTCATTGAGTAGTGAACTCCACTCATTCCCTTTTGTCACATTGCAGCCTGAAATATTTTACTGAAGGGGCTAATGATAAATATCATAAAGACTGCCATTTGAAATAATAATAGTAATATTTTGCTGAAAGGTCTCCTCACAAAATACGTGGTTTGCACAAGAAGGACTCCTTTCCGAAGGCCCTCTTGGAAAGCACTCCTCAACAATTTGATAAGTACTAAGGAATATCTTATAGAAATTAATAGTGACATGAAATTTTGTTAAACTATATCAAATAACTATATGTTTGATTGAATTTTTCGCTCCGGTAACAACATAGGCTGAGAGGGGGGGGGGGCAGAAGAGTATTTCAAAGAAAAAGGTAGAAAAGGTAGAAAAAAGGTGAGGTGAGTACTTTGGAAGTGGTCGACTATGGCAAACAGTGGGGTGATGGTAGTTTGAAGTCAGAAGTTAATAGACTTTTTTGCAGTATGAGTATACGTTGCCCAGGGTGCACCACGTGGAGGTAAGTCCATCGCACACCCCAAGTGAAGTGAAGTAAAGTCGTGATGATTTTCAGTTCATTGTGCAACATGCCTGCCTTAGATACGGGGATTATAACCTCGGGTTCCCCAGATAAATAGGCATTTTTCTCAAATAGCTTAAAATAAACTTATTGGTCATTTTGACTGATGTATGGGTGGGATTCGAACCCACGACCACTATCAACTTAGCTGTCTTCGTATTCCTTACGCTACAGATTGTTATAGCTAATAGCATTGTTACATTACTCTTCGTTTTTTGCTTTGAACTTTTCATCTTAGGTAAAGTGAGCAGTACATGTTTATTTTGTTTATGTCTGTTTATGTTTGTTCAAACACTGGTTTACGAAATATTAGAACTTTTCTTTAACTAACCTTTAATGCATTTACTTTACATTAAAAGGCTCTCACTGAGGGAATTCGAAATGAACATTGGTCAGGTGACGCTGAAAATCATATGGTCAACAGCTCTCTGTGGAGCTATCTACCAATATCACTGGCGAAAGAAGTAAGATAATTGTGCATTTGAAAGAAAACAGTACTTTAATGAAATTTCCGTCATGACGAAGTAAATATTTGCATTTAGATACGCCCTTCTCAGTCTGATTCTATACTTGACGGTAGCACTATTGCCAGCAGTGTCCTTGGTTTTCATGGTTTGTGGAATTACTGAGTGGTGGATTTTGTTCTTACTGAATACTAATTAGTAATACGTTATTTTTCAGAAAGATCATTCGGGAATAGGTGACATTCTATTGGGAGGACTAATGTATATCATAGGGACTTATTTCTACACGATGGATGGAAAAATACCACTGGCGCATGCTATCTGGCATTGGTTCGTTACTTTGGCTGTTTTCATTCACTTCTACGCCGCTGAGCGCCACCTCTTTTCGCACTAACCATGAGTATACTTTTACGGATTGATTGGACATCGATCAATCCTATTTTATGCAAGATCCTTTTCTTTCCATTCGTGTATAACTCTATTTTTTCGATATATTTAATTGCATAATCAAGATTGCCAATTAAATATAAATCCATATTTATTATTATGTCTTAAGACCTATAATGCTGCACATGCGCACGTTTTCAAAATAACCGCTTTCAAATTCGAGACCCGTCTTATAACCAAGGTTAGCATAAAAAGACGCCGATGAATATTTTTAGGAATAAAAACAGGTGCCAATTGCACAGTTCAGTTGCAAAGATTGAGGTTATTAAAAAGATATGTTGATTGAAGAGTTTGAAATAGCAAGCAAAGACGCTAACAACGCTATTGGGCTTGCTAAATAATAAAATTATCATTGACAAGCCTTATGTACACTGGATTTAGAAATTACTGATATTTTGAAGGGAGAATATCCTAAAATCGGTTATTAGCAAAATGTGGCCAAACCCATGTACAAATAGCGAAACTCATTGGAAATTGTACTACCAAGGTGGTTATAAAAAGTTATGAAAAAATGTCTCTCTATCCTCATAGATATTGAAACGGTAGAAGTTATTAGGTCTACAGACATATTTAAGGCACCATTTTGAATCGTCATTGAATGTTGGCTTAAATTTCCTTTGTGGGACACGTTATCGCGTTGTTCGTCATCGTATGCCTGCATGTCTGCTCGCCAAGATTGGGAGGTGCGGCGTACAACTCTGTGTGCAGCGACCGTACAAACAGTGACCAATCATCAACCTCTATTTAACCTAATCCCCCATCCTGATCATGAGTAGCTCCCTGCGCGTACACTTTATCCGCAACATACCCACTGAATAAGCGTGCTCCGTGCTACACGTCTGTTTCCTTTCATAGCTTGGCTATAGCTTAGCTGGTTCTGGGAGTCTAGCTAGATGTAGAAGAATCTGCCATAGAGATTTCTGAGTCAGTCAGGCTTTACATAGCGTAGCAGTCCGCTACATCTTAGATTAAATTACTCGTCTGAATTATGGTTGACATAGCCCTAAAATAAATTTTTGTTAGTCTTTCGACTGCCTTTATAATGATAACGAAGTCTGAGGGTAATCGTCGTATTGAGATTGGTTGGATTGGTGGTTCATTGATTAGTCAATGTCCAGTTAACAGCAATTTTGACCACTAATAAAGGGTATCATTTCAATGGATTTGTTGTTGCGGGTTATGATGTTATTTAAAAAATTTTGATATATATTTTGCTTACCTCAATCTTGAGAGGACTTGCCCATTTTTAGATGCCGTTTTCAATATACGAGGGGAGGTTTAGTGAAGAAAGAAATTAGGAACTGTTCATGTCAACTCGGTGAATAATAAATTAATTTAAAATATATATATTTACCGAAAATAAAATACACCAGAGTTATTTATCGCATATCTTAGTATTTTCTTAAACGAATTACTCAGAAAACAGGCAAGTTGACCAAGTTTTGAGAATGCGCGAAAAAAACTAATTAAGCCATATTTAGGCATGCAAGCTGTTTCTCACCCTTTGGAGAGGGTTACTAAACTCCTTCACTCATTCTAGCTTTCAGAACTCCCAAAAAAACAAAAGTGATCTTTTTTCATTTGTTAAAAATGCTCGTGCCATGTTCATAAGTGAGCCTAGATACCCTAATTGAATTCACTTAAAAGGCTAGGAGTTCCATCTAGTTCAAATGATGAGTTCAAAGCTACTACAAAAAGTTGGATGAGGTATCTGAAAATTGAAAACACGAACTAAATGTACAATACAAGTAAACGTGGGAAATAGTTGAAAATAATTATGAAGATTATTGAATAATGCAGGTTACTACTGAAACTTGGTTAGTAGCGACTTTGTAGATTCAAATGTTATGGCTGCCGTCATTTCAAAAATTAAGACACTGGAAACCCTAAGACTTAATCGTTTACCTACACGTCTTGAGATAGTCTGAACAATAGCAAAGCATTTTCTTTGCTATTACATTAGGAAGAATAGAAAATGGTGACAACAAGCCAAGTGGATCTTCAGTCTATCTGGCTGTGCCGGCTGCTGTTTTAGAAAAACGCTTGAAATGTTATTTCCGTGATAAAATAGGAGAATACGGAAAGGAAACTTAAAAACAAAATCTGCATCCAGTCTGACAATTTCAGATACAAGGCGCAATATGTCTTTGATATCTTGATACACCCCTACTTTTTGAACATTCAGAAATCAATTGAACTAAAGTCCATTTTTGGACGCTACTCGTGATTAAAATTCTATTTTTGATTGGCCATGGGCAGAATTAAGATGTCCGAAACCGAACAGTACCAAACAGGACTAGATTGAACTTTACCCACCAGATTAAGAAGGACAAAATTTATTTGACTATTAATCATTTGCCAAGTTTTGTAATTTGCATTTAAAATATGTCCGATTTAAATTAAATGTTCATTTTAAATGACACTAGCACAAGTAAATATTGCATATTATAACTCATTTGAAAACAAGTTGGATTCAATGCTAATTAAATTTCTGCCTTAAAAGCCTCAAACTCGACTCACCGTTTCAATTCTCAGAGTAGTGACTAACTGTTCAATTATCTCACATGCCAGTCAGGATAGATATTCCAAACGAAACAGAATATTCTTGTGAAAAAGAAATCGGCTGTTCACAAGGATTTTCAAAACCTCGAGTCTCTGAGAGGTCAACAGGTCGCGATGCAATTCTTGAATGTAAGATGAAATTACTGTAATAATGCTAACCCATTTTAGTTGTGGAACTGAAAGACCTTTTAAAAATATCTGGTCAGAAAGATTTTAAAACCTTCGACGATGTATTCATAGAAAAGTAAGATTGTCTATATTTGACTTCTTATCATTTATAACCAGGTACAGAAAGTCACTCAGGGTACCCAATGTGGGAACGTTTGCGACTGTGTATCTTTGCAGGGATGCGTTGAAAGCCTTCAAAGTAATTCCCTTCCGGGATAACTATGTCAATGGATCAGATGTGAAAGTACCTGCTATTGCGTCGATCTATAACGAAATTGTTTGTGCAAGCAAACTTTCCAAGTTTCGAGGAAGTCAAAACTTCCCTAAAGTTCACAATATTCACCTTATAAAAGGTGCATGTCCCCAATACCTGTGTGATGTCTATGACCAATATCATGAACGATGCTGTTTAATCAAGCATTTCGACCGTAAGTTATCCGAGTTTTCTCATTGCATGTAACAGAAGAACATCACATTTTCTTCTAAGCACTTTGAGGTCATGACCCAAATGCCTGTTGGTGCATATCCAACAAGAGAAATGACGAGCCACCTTGTCTGAGTCTGGGAAATAATAATATTGTAGCCTAGATATTTTCAAACGAGTTTTTGTTAGTTTGGAAGTATGAAAGTGATCTAATAACGCTTATTGTCCGAAATAATTTCAAATAATTGTCATCACTAAAACAATTTACTAAAATTTAACTTGCTTGCATCAAAAGCACGGGTTAGATTGCAATTATTGAGAAGCAGGATACTTAAGAACAAAGTTTTACTGTGATAATTTTGAAACAAAGATTCTTCAACTAATGGAAGATTATGATTCTTGAGGCTTTATGTGAAAATGATCTCGTGATAGATCTAACAGGATGTAGCTTACGTTCAGTAGTAAATGATATTGCATTAATTTTTCATGAAAAAAGGCTCGTAGTCCAAGAGGCTTGTGTGCATGCACAAATATAAACTAATACTTAATTTTTATTTGAAAGTTGTAAATACAGAATTGCTCAAATAGTTCATTAGTTTAGAGTAAGTGTTGAAGGTGGTCACAGTGAACTTTGACCCCCCCCCCCCTCAGCATCTCACAACACATCTTTCTCGCCTTAACTACAGTGAACTTATTTCAAGTTAATTGTCTACACTATTACCTATTGTATCTCTTTATTTGTTGATTTCTCAGCTTTCCCAGCACAAATATCTTATTTCTGACATGTACTATTGGCATTGCCATTTAGCTAATAATGTTCGCTATAAAGACCGCCTTTATAGTGCGCACAAGTGGCTCATAAGCTCAATTATTCTATTTTAATGTGCAGTTGATAGATTTCCTCCCGATCAGTGCTGGATCATCATAGAAAGTGAAATGTACGGCCGATCACTCAATGCGATCCCGGTATGCTTAACATCAAACCGATTTTTTGCTGGCTTATTTGTTGTTTTGTTGGAATAAACTCTTTACCTCTTCATTTAGCCAACTTGTCCAATGGCAGCGCTATCAGTATTTGCTCAAACTGTGCTCGCCGTGGCAGTGACAGAAACGCGATTCCGCTTTGAGCATAGAGATCTGCATGGTGGGAATATTTTACTTCAATATGACGCAAAAGATGCCTGCTCCCAAAGGATACCAAGCACCTATTTTCAAGGTCAAACTCTTCGGCCTCGTAATGGTCCACTTGCGAAGATTATTGATTTCACTCTATCACGTATCACCGATCGTAAGCTCAATTATTGAAATCGCTGTTGTGTTTTATACAAAATTAGACTTTCGACATTAATTGCCTTATTAAAGGTAACATAATACGACAGACATTCCAAGACCTAAAGTTTCAGAGATGTGCTGGACAACGTGAGTATTGGGGAAGTGTAGCCAGGTTTGTAATAAAGAAGACGATGAGGGGGGGGGGGGGGGGAGTGTCTTAGTTAGAGTTCATTGCTCTTTGATGAGTTGCCAATAAAAATCAATACCTGACCATTAGGACAATTCAGAGTTGCGATTCAAAATTGTAGAATATTGCCGCTTTAACAAATAGCATATAAGATAACATTACTACAAGGTTTGTCAATTTATTCTAAGAGGAAAACCAAGTCCTTCCCTTTACTCAACTCCTACCAACTTTTTGTGAATTTTTCTAAACTCTCGTGGACTGATCGAGAGAATACGATGTAGTCTGATATTTTATTCGATATTCATCTTGTCGCTAAATCCTTCATACAGTTTCCATTCCTTCTGAAGATTTAGTAGCAGGTGTACGTGGTCTCTGAATTGATTAATTGATAATTTGGCATTTCATTGAATACTTCCAGTCATTCTGAAATTGCTTCTAATTGGTCAATTATTTCCCTTAGAAGATCAAACCCGATAGCAAACTTTGTTTATATGAAAAGGGGTAAACTTACTCCTATTAGAGGAAGGTCATTTAACACTATGAACAAGTAGAACCAATTATCAGATAATCGGAAGAATTCTGCTTCATTTAAGTTTCAAGAAAATCAGTTAAGGACGGTTTTAATAATGGGGTTTGGGTAAACTTATTCCCACTTTTCATATCATCCTTCTTACCATAATTGATGCTAACCCAACCAATTGGCAATATAATTTAATAAATGAAAATGTAAAGTAGACGTATCATCGTATAATAAAATTATTATAAAACTATTGCTAAAGAAATCATGGTTATTAAATGCGAAATAAAGGGGGGAAAGTAATAAAAACAGACGAAAAATAGCAATTTTCAATGAATTTATTAGAATTTCATGTATGTCAATGTATGGAATTAGGTGAGAAAGTCACTGATCTCATTAAAATTTACCCAAGGTAAAATTATCTATAACGCGGTTATATTTTTTGCCTTAAGGTGATACCGCGATCTATACCAATGTCTCAAGCTATCGGAATCTATTCATTGGAAATACACGTTCACATGCTCATTTATATCGCGAGATGCGTGATCTGTTGAAGTAAGTTACTGTTCCAATAACTTTGCCATTAACTATAGTAAAGAGTCTGTTGAATAGGGCAAATCGTAAGGAAATCTAATCTCTGCGAACAGCCCCATAAGTAAGGTATAACAAAAAAGAGGCTGTAACAGAAATGCTTGCTTGTGATGGGACAGTCATGAGATCAATTTTACTTCCCCGACCAAGTTCAGCTGGGAAAGATTCCCCTCAAACTCGAAAAGAATAGATCTGAAGACCACAAGTTGGGCTTGAGAGCAAGTACACTGAAATGAGGAAGTGATGTTGAGATTTCAATGAGTAGACAGCAGCAGCCCAAACGCAGGTAGGACAAAAGGGCAAAAAGATGCTTCGAGCAACAGATAAAGGATCATCACCTGAAAATTGAAATTGATCTCGCATAAGATTCGAAATTGGCGTTTGGTAGAATATAACAAGCCTATTGTTTCATGAATATTAACTCACAACGTATATGTTTAAAAACGGTTCATAGGTAAGAGCGAAAGGCGAATAACTTGAAGTTTAACTAAATTAAATTAAGGATTAGTTAGGATAGATCCTAACGAGGTATCACAATTTGCCGTACCATAGTAACCCTACTAGCTATCACATAAGCAATCTCCCACTTCAGGGATGACTGGTCAGCTTTCAATCCACGGAACAATGCCAAGTGGATACATCATATTGGGGAGCGAATTCGCGAAATTGTTGAAAAGGGAAAGTATTGCAATTATCACAAGAATTCTAACGCAGGACTTATTCGAAAGCAGTTTCGAGAGCTCCTCAACAAGGCAATGACTGCCAGTTCAGCAGCTAATTATGCCAGGGAGATATCTACTTCAAAGATTCTTTTCAGGGCGTAAGATTATCACATACTTTGGGTTTTAAATATATTTTTGGATTATCTTTTTCTTTTTAATGGGAAAACGATGGGAGGAGGGGGGACCTGATCAATAGATTTTCATCAAAGGTATTCCTCGAAATTCGTCTAAAAGAACTGTTCCATTGACTTACACCTTACTGTCTTGAAAGCCATACGCCGTTAAAGTTTGATCAAGGGTACTAGTGTTAACTATGGCAGTTACCTGTGATATTCATATTAGCCTTGATCACTGAAAGTGAATTCATCTATTCTAAGCATCCAACGTCATTGATAATACTGACACCATTGACACACACCTCCCCCCCCATACTATTTCCATTGGTGACCAATGCATTGTTTTTTTCAATTTAAGGGTGTCTAGTTGCATTTTGACACTTTAGACAGCCATTGACAAGTAGTTCTACGCGTTTGTAATTTCTCGTGTAATAAATATGCACACTAGCTAATGTTTTCTTTCTCTTTGTGCCTCGATGAAATGGGTGAAATTAAAAACGAACACTAAGTATGGCAACCCCCTTACAATACATCAGGAGTCGACAATGAATAATTGAAACGATCCAACAAGTCCCTTTTAACAACGAGGATGACCATTTCGTTTTCACCACTTTCATGCCTTTTCTGATAATCGAGTCTTCCAGTGAGGAGTGATTTAATTTAGCCTCATTAGCAGGAATATTCCGAATGTAATCGGCAAGAATGTAGCATTTATTTGAAAAAATGGCAGGCAATATGATAGTTATCATTAGCCCTTTAGTTGACTTCGGGCTTCACAGAGGGGGAGGGGGGAGGAATATCAAAGTGTGAAGAATTTGGGAGGGAGAATAGAAGAGTGATTCACAGATGTAAAAGGCTCAGAAAGAGTAAGATGAGTACTGTGGTAGGGGTCGACTATGACATACAGTGGGGTCAAGGTAGTTTGAATTGGGAAGTCAACTGCCGGTTAATAGACTTCTTGCCGTGTGACTATACGTTGCCTAGGGTGCACCACGTGGAGATAAGTCTATCGCTCATCCCCCACAGT